AACTGTAAATACAATAATCTCTTCAGAAAGGCGGCCTATTTGTTCCCCAATAAGCCTCCGCCGGCAGCTGCCCCATCCCCTGATACTCCCCCACAGTCTGCTGCCCGGCCGTCCCGGGCAGCTGCCCGATCTGCCCGCCGCCAGACAGCCGCCCCTCCTCCTCTTCCTCCAGCGGCAGCCGCTCGTAAGCCGCGTTCCCGAACGAAGCCGCCATCACCACCACCGGCCCGGACGCCACCAGCGGGCCCACCACCGTCCCGCCCAGCACCTGCCCCTGGCCTCCGGCGAGGTACACCGTCAGCGACGACGCCGCCGGCGGAGCCGGTGGCGGCAGGAACGACCCGGACAGGGACAGGATCTCGAACCGGCCGCGGAGGCTGACGACGGCGGACCCGTCCGGCTGCCGGAGTGCGACATCGGCGACAGCGCCGGCGGCGCTGAAGACGCAGACGCCGCGCTGGCGGCGGGCGGCAAAGTCGGAGATGCTCCCGCGGACGTCGCAGCCGGTGGCGACCTCCATGACGTGGGATCGGAGGGCGTTGGCGCTGTCCCGTGTGACGATGATGGGTGGCTTCGGCTTGTTCTTGGATCCGGCCGGCCGACCGCGCGGCCGGCGCGTGGCGGCCTCGGCCGACGACGAGCCCTTGGCTTCGGATGTGGGGGTGGTGAGGTCCCGATCTAGTTTGACGTTGTCGTTGGCGGAGTGCCCGTCGTCGGGGGCAAAGCGGTGGTGGAGCTGGAGATCTCTGCCGCCGCCGAACGGCGGTGGCGGAGGTCGGCCGTGAGTGAGGTGATCCATTAATTGTAGGTTTTCTTCTTTCTATCTATCTATCTTTTTTTTTTTTGGGAAGAAAGAAAAAATTTAGGCTTTAGATAGATAGAAGAAGTTGGGAATGAAAGTGACCCACCAAGATTTGAGCTGAAATATTTACCATTTAGAGAGAGGAGAGAGGAGAGAGAGTACTAGTGTTAGGGTGGGCTTTGGTTTTTGGGGAGCTGTAGC